TTATATTTTCCCTATGTTTTTCCTTTCTATATTTAAATTTCCAATTTTTTAGCCTGAGCAAAGTATTAAATTCAACTTAAAAACCCTGATTATGTACTAAATTTTAAGCACTTTAAAAGGAAAAATACAACTTACCTTTAAATTCTAGCACTTTACTTAGCAATTACATGAAAAATTTTTAATATAAGTTTTTTAAATACCAAAAATGTTAGCTCACTTTAGCTTGGCAATTACACTGTAAGAAATTTATATATAAATTTAAAAGACATTAATACAAACCTTTAGCCCCTTGGGTATCAAAATTTTCAAAATTTAAAATAAATCCTTGCCAGAATTTTTCATAGCAAAATTTTTATACACTTAATATAATTTCAACACTTGCCTTATCATTACACATACACTGAATAAATCTTGGGCCCAAATTTCTTATCAAATTAATGTTGAACTTACCAGACTTTACTTTTCAAAATAAAAATTTTAATTAAATCCACAAAAAGACTTCCTAATTACCTCCGTCAAAAGGACCAACGGCTATTAAATTTGGGAAAAATTTCATTTTTCGTATGTAAATGTACATAATAAATGAGCATAAAATTTTTATTTTTCAGTTAGACAAGTAGGAATTTGGGACACCTGGTCGCAAAAAAGCCCCCTTCGATACCTACCACGTCTATCCACAATTGCTCTGACCATTAATTAAAAATTTTTCTCACCAGGAATTCGGAAAATAAAATTTGGGACTGATATTAAATTTAAAAAAGATTTTTATAAAAACACAATTACATAACAAAGGGAAAAATTTTTCTTTAAAATCACTCGCCAATTTGCTGGAATTAATGTGTAACATACCAGAAAACCTACGTCTAAATTTTGAAAAAACTGGCCAGAATTTAAAAATGAAAAACCAATTCTGGTTTCCTGGGGCTGCTTGTCCCTCGCCGATACCAAAATTAGCAGGGAACACATCCAAAAAATTTTGCCTCCTATTTGAAGGGTCAACCCAATTTAACCTCTAGAGAGGAAATTCTCACAAAATTTAATTTTCTTACTCCCTTCAAACAATGGTACTGCCCCCCCCCCCCCCCCAAGCCGCAGGGTTTCCCCTTTTTTAAACATACTTTTAAAAAAACAATATAGGGCACTATTTTTCCTATAAAACTGTATTTCTGGAAAATATTACAGTATTTTTCCACAAACATCTTTGTAGGGAGTGGTGGAGACTGCTGTTCCCCCCCCCCCCCCCGATTACCTTGGCTTACTTTTTCACAATTATTTCATCTTATGTTGGTCTTTTTTACTGATGGGCAGAGGATGGTTACATTGCAGTAATTTTCAGCAGTGACTTATTTGGATAATTCCAAAGTGTTTTCACTTTGGAGCTCTATCTTGACTGTTCTCATCCTGATAGCTTGCATACCTGGAAGATTTATGCCCATGGCCTGCTCCCAGATGAGGCTTCCTGGTGGATGACCTAATCAGCCAAGCTGTTGGTGTTACTTGCATGTAAGCACCATGCCCTGACTGATAGGAACAGACTTCAGAAACTTGGCTTATTTCTTTGAAAACAGCCAGGGGTCTGTTGGTAGTAAACCACTGGCTGTTGAAGTCTTCATGTATTGAATATGAAGTACATTGCACCCCTACTTCCATTGGGTCTTATGCCCCATCTGCCAAGCCTCTTTCATGAGAGAACCTTGTGCAAACAGATTTTGGGCCAGTCCTAGAATTTTTTAGGTGTAGATAATAGGTTTTTGTTTTGGAGTACACATGGAGGGACTTCTAAGTGAAGGCACTCTGCATTCTCCTGGCCTGCAAGTTTACCTACCTTAATCTGGTGTACAGCCATATGCCAGCCTAGAAGGCATCCACTTTGAAGATTCTAGTTATCCAGAGTAATTTTCCATTTAGTTGACACTAGTCATGTTTACATGTGCCACTTGTCACCAGTTCCTGATTTTCTAACCCTGGACATAATGCCGATTATTTACTGTGATTTGTGGTTTACATTTCATTTAAAACCCCTAAACTGTCCAAAACATAGATCCATGTTCGCTCGCATAGCTCTCCGAATGTAATCTATTTTTTTATTCTTTCTTATGGGGAAAATCAAGGTCAGAGCAACTACACGTGAAAACGTAGATCTACGTTTGGACAGTTTAAGGGTTAAGCAATTGGTGCTAGTTCCTGTATCTTTAAAATCTGGGTTAATGGTTTTACTTTGGTTTTTTTCTGGTTTAGTTAAAGGCTTTTCTGTGTGATTACTTATATCTGCATTTTAAATTCTGCCCTTAGTATTGGCAAGTCAACCAACAGTGCATCTGACTTGTCACTTGGCAAGGAGCACAGCACAATGTCTTAAGTAGAGTGCTTACACAAATCAACTGGGGAAAGTAAAAATGTTTAGACAAAACTTGGATACTTGAAATTCGTACTAGTGACTTGTCAATGGTTCATGCAAGATCAAAATGTTTCACTTTCCCTTGCGTAAGTGAGGGTTAAATTTGGTCCAGCCATGGTATTGACTTGTGCCTTCCTGGATCTGTTTACTAAATGGCTTGGTCTGCTTCTATTCATCTTTAGTACAAAAGATTCAAAGGACTTGGCTTTTCATGTTCAGCACAAGAAATTTAGTGCCTGGGCTATGGTGTCTAAGGCTGATCCAAAAAGCTCTGACTTAATGACTCGCCCATGGGAAGTGGATAGACTGGTATGTCAGGATATGGGAGTTTTTGCTAACCAACAGATGTAGCTTGTGGGAAATACCTGCCGACAACATAGGGCTCTGCATTCATTTTTTTATAATTACATATATTCCCGAAGAAATCTATTTTAAGAGATTTTAATTGGGGGAAGTTTAATTTGTGCTAGTTTTTTTTTTGAAAAAGGCTGTTTAAAACATAATAAAATTTTTAAAAAACTACCTACACAGTGAAAAGTCAGAATTTAAAAAAGGGGGGTGGCCAGGTAAGTTATTGCGTCAGAACTACAAGTTGTAAAAATCTTGACCCTTTTCCACCCCAATCAAAGGTTTTGGAGGTCACCCTCCATGGGGACACCAGGTTTTACTAAAAGGAACTCTCGGAAGCCTTTAAATAACCATGCCTTGATCTGTATGGGGTTGCAAAAATTTTATTTCCCCTGATGCAGCCAGGGTGGGCGGGCCTTGTAAAAAATTTCTAGACGGGCCTGCTGGCCCTGATGCAATTTGATATGGTTACCCACCAATCAAAAACTGGTATGCTAGCTTTAACCCCTTTTCACTTCCAGCCCCTAAAATTAATGTGGCTCTTGCAGAGCAAAATTTGTAGTAAAATTTTCAGGAAGGTAATGGGGGGAGGGGGAGAGTATGAAACTTGGTGGGGAAGCTCGTGGCTTTTAGGGCATGCACCATCAGCAGTCCACACACAATTTGTGCTTTGGGGTGACTGCTGGCTGTCCTATTTTAACCCTTTCAGGGTCCGTCCCGTAGATCTATGGCTTTACGTTCAGGGTCCAAACCGTAGATCTACGTCATGAGCTCAGCTCACTCTGATAAACTGCGATGGTAAATTTGGGCCTAGATATGAGAGAATACAACTGTGGTATGTGTGCACCACATAAAACAAATCCTGCCGCACACTGTGTATAATGAGAGAAAAAAAAACTGAGTGATTTTCGATTAAAAGAGCGATTTTTGCAGTGTTTTTTCATTTTTTTTTTATAGTTGTATTTGCGATTTCTTTGGTCTCATTTGATAGAATGGAAGAAAATTTACAGAAATAGATAATTTTGTTTGGGTTTTTTAGCACTGGAAATGGCTTGAAACTGAGCTCAAAGTGGCGGAAATGTTAAATTTTTTGCCGATGTTCAAGAGTAAACAAACGCCTCACACGTTCTAATACACACCAGCTGGGGGGTCTAATATACATTCACAAATGTGGTGATATTTATACCAATATTACAATATTGCATAACAGTAAATCTTCTATTTTTTGGTGTGAATAAAAATTCATTGAATAAAAAATCAAAATGGAATTTATTTGTAAAGCTTCAAAACATAACTAATGAACAGAGGAAATGGTAGTTTAGTGCCAGGAATACCTACATTGTTTATTCTGGACCCTTTTTTGAAATTGGAATATTTTGAACTTTGTGTTAAATTGGCCAAATCACCAATTTCCGGGCACTTTATTTGTAATTGAAACAGTGACTTGGGGGATTTCTTGTGCTCAATCGATAAAAAACAGAAGTAATACTAGTGAAATAGCTAAGAATTTGGTCGGGCTGGAATAATGTAATTGACCTAAAATGGGAGTCAGTCGGTAAAATCGCCGATTCGTAAATATCGCTGAAAAACATCAAAATTCACGAGAGCATAATTTCGTCAATTTTCCATCAAATTTCGTACTTTTTGTTTTATTACATTCACCAAAAAAATTCTTGACCATTTCATAAGAAAAAATAAAAAAAATTTCGTGAAAATTCTTGGACACTGGGGCACCACTTCAAAATTTTTGGGCCCTTTGGACCCTGAAAGGTTAAGCAATTCCACTTGACCAGTTTTACAAATTAAAATTACCAATTTAAAAATTTGTACATAACAATGTAGACATTCCTGTCACTAAAAAAATTTCATTTATCACATCCCCAGGCTTCTCCCATTATTTTCATTTTGAATTCATAAAATTTTGCTAAATTGACTCTTATTTCTTGGATAATAAAATATAACCAGAAGTGGTTGGTCCCTGATTTCTAGCATCCCCCAGTAGTTAAATCGACCTGTTGAAACTAACACCAAGGGGGGGGGGGTGCTTACTGGCCATCATGGAAATCTGCAAAATGTTTCCACTCCCTTGAATCTGATTCAAGCTGCTTTTGGCCCTGAAACCAACCACTATAATTCAGTAGCCCTTCCATTATATTAATAAAATTTATAGATAAGTATGGGGTAAAGTATTTAGGGTGTAATCTTTCTTCTTGGCGTCCTATTTTTCACTAAGTAAATTTTCTTTCCATTTCAGCCGACACGAGATGAGCTAATGAAGCTGTCTAGCAGTTTTGCAGATCAAAGCAATCTTGCAATGAAGGTGTTGTTATAGGTGGTGAAAAAGTTCTTCTACCTCTCGGGCACTGACAAGGTAAGCTAGTGGGGAAATTTGCAATTAGTTGCACAGCAAATGTCCTAATTTAGTTTTTTCTCCTGGGTAGTTTAGTTTTTAAATTTAAAATTTTTTATAATACTCCAGCAGTTTTCCTAGATGTATAATGACCCAACAAAAACTTGTCAGTCTTACCAGAAGGGCATTGACATTAGATGACCCTCCAAAACTATATTGTCCCCCCACCCCTTTAAGAATGCAGGCATTGTACTTTCACCCCCCCCCTGAACTAAAGTTGTGCAGTGTGGTCCCCCCAGTCTCTTCATAAGTGTTACTTCACCAGCACATAAATTTTTAAACCACTTGACTTCAGTCATTACTAATGTGCTCTTGCAAGCCTGTCAAAGTTCCAAGCTCTTGAAATTTCCATTACCCCCTACCCCTCCCTGCCAGCCTTTCTTAGGATGACCCTACCTCTTCCATCCACCCCAGATTTACATGCCCCCCCTAGTCCTCCAATTTTCTCCCCTTTAGAAGTCCAAAACTTGTGAACCTCTTCTCGCCCTATGAAATATTTGGCAACTTAAACCAAACTTTGTCTCCAGTATTCATGTAAAATATTCACAACACACATTCCCCTGCACCACCTTGTTTAAAAATTCAAAACCCATCTTCATACCCACAAGTGTTGGTACCACTACTGGTACATCGTTTTTTTTTCCTCTAGTTTCACTACAGGTTCCTTGCTGCACCCACCCACCTTTCTTCCTTTGTAAATTCTGGTTCACCTGGTAGAACCACATGCTGGATAGTCACTCCCAAATTGGTACATTTCTTCCATATTCCCTCTTGTATCCAGTCTCCTTGATACAATTTTTTTTTCTAGTGTTGCTCTTTCATTTGTTTACTTTTAATTTCCTTTTCACATACCCCCCCAAAATTATTTTGCCAGCCTTTGCCATTTTACTCTTCTAAAGAATCATTTCCTCTTCAAGGGGGGCTCCTTGGCGTGGTGAAGAGGCTCTTGGTCTGAGGAATTAGACCTGTCGGTCTTCTTCCTCAGACCGAACCTAATTACCCCCCAATCTCCCCTCCCCTATCCCATCCTCCCCCTTTTTTCCTTTCCTTTCCCACCCCTCCTTTTTGCCCTTCCTCTTTTTGGCCTTTGGGATTTCTCCCACAGGTGCGCTAGTTCCTAGGTAGGGGAAAAAGGGTACCCGGGTCCATCCCATTCCATGAGGTTTTTTGGCGGTGGCGTAGTTTGCCGTGGAATCTGGGTCGCCTAGGATGTCTCGATCCCTCTCGGTATCCCCGGGGTAGCTTTGGGTGTCTTTCGGGCGACGGGTTATTTTCTGGAAGCCACCTTCGGATTCCGGGGGTGTGCCGAAGGAGGTATGCTTTGTGGCGGATATTCGGCCGCCCTCTCTTTTGTCCGAATAGCTCGGCAGATGTGAAAGGGTTGCTATCCCGGATTGTTAGTTTACTAGCATGATGGGTAGGGTATGGCAGGGTTCCATGCTGCATCTGCGCTACTTTGCGGTGCTGAGTCCTCTTGGGCGCGGAGGGAGATTTCTGGCCCTTTCATTCCTCTAGGAACTATCCCTCCCCTGTCCCCCTTTTTTTTTTTATTTTATTTTTTTTTTCTTAAAAACAAAAGAAAAGTAACCTAAACCATGGCAGTCCTAGTCCATGAACCTCCTACCCCCCCCGGGCCCCTTCTTGATACCGCACCCCCTTCTGACCCCCCCTCGTCTTTGGACCACTCTTCAGACACTCCTCTGCCCCTGTACCTGTTTGCCGGTGCTGTTTCCTCACCCCCTTCAGGTACTGAGACCTCGGGCTGACTCCTTCGATTTATCAGACCTTCGCTCTCCTTTGACTATGCTTCCGGCCTCTCCCTCTACGTGCGGGGAATTTTCAAATCGCCGACCCATTCCACGTCGGACCAACTCTGGTCCCACACCTAAACGCCAAAAGACAATTACCTGCTGATGATACTTCTCGTTCTTCTCAAACGATCGACACGTCCTTCACTACCTTTCCCACGCTCGGTTTTAGACTGAACAATGGACTAAATTCTTCACTTATGACCGACTTCCTCTACTGCCTATTTTTCTGACCACAGTATTGGCAAGGCACTCCTACGCCATGTTGGTAAAGATATTTCTTTTCATGCTCTTAAGAGCGGTACGCTCATCACCGTACAGAATGCTACCCAGGCTCATGAGCTCTCTCGTCTTTCCCATATCGATACCGTTCCTGTCACTCTTGAAAAACATCATTCCTCAATTCTTGTAGTGGTACCGTCGTCTGCCCCATACCATAGTTCAACAAAATTCCAGACATGTGGCACTGACATTCTTGAACAGCTGGAACTCCAAGATCTCCAATCCTCAAGGTAGACACTTACGTTGTTTCCTGCCCACAGGTGGAGACGATACCCTAGCAATGTGTCTTGTTTAACTTTTGACAGCCGAGAACTCCCATCCTCAGTTTATGTAGCAGGGACATCGGTTACAAGTTCGAAAGGTGATCCCTACCCCGCAACAGTGTAGAAATTGCGGGCAATTTGGCCACCCACGAAATATTGCAGGCTATCGCCGAATGCCCAGTCTGGTGCCGATGACCATTCTAACGTCTTGCAATCAATCTCCCTTTGCTTAACTGTAGGGGTCCCCCTTGTACTCTCCCCCGTTGTCAAGTCTTTTTAAACGAGGGGGAAATCTTTTCCTCGACAAAAGGGTCTCCCTTATGCCATGGCTTTTCTCATCTCCGCCTCCAAGGGAGACTCCCACGGTTTCTTATTCCCGTGTTTCAAAAGTCCCCCCACTTCTGGTATCCCATTTCTACACCCCCCTGTGGTTCCTCCCCCATAGTCACCCCCGTTCTAATCTTTTTGCTGTCCTCAGCTAGACACCCCCTACTTCGGGCCCTCTTTGTTTTGCTTCGTTTTTTCACAGCCCAGTAACGCGAGATTCGTATGCACCTCCCCCAAATCACCTTTTAAAGTCAAAAAAGGTCCTTAAAACACCTACCCCATTTTCCCACCTCATTTTCCCCCTCTCGTCCCTATTTCCCCCCCTCTCGCTGGCTCTGTTACAAGTGAAAAGGTTCACCCTCCCCCCGTACTGTCCCTTTCCTTTCCCCTGTTCCCCCCCAGGTTTTTTCCTCTTCTGCCACCTCCCAGTTTTTGCCTCTTCTGCCCCCTTCCACGCTTCCCCATTCCCTCCCCCTTTTTCCCCCCCCCCCCCCTACCTTGGTACAGTCCAAAAATTTCCCAATCTTTACTCATCCCCCCCCCTACCTTTTCCAATATTGTCTCCATTGACGTCTCTGAATTCCGAAAACTTGAAGCAATCCCTAATATTTTGCAGGGGAAAAAACCCAAAGGGACACTGATCCACCCTCTGTTCCTTCTTCCTCTCCCCACTGGCAATCCTTTTTCACAGCGCCCCCTTCCTTCGTATTTGAACGTTTTCCACTGCCTCCGCAGTGGACTTTTCAACCCCTTAGCCGGGGAACCCTTACCTCGGATTTAAAGTATCTTCTTCATTGCCAATCATGGCCTTTTTTCGGGGAAATTACGGGGCCCCGGGGTAACGGGGGGGAGGCTTCAGTGTGATCCCCCTTTTTTGCCCCTTTGGTGTTTGCTTACAGGAACCAAAATTACTTGTGTTATCTCTCCATCTCAGGCTATAAATTTTTTGTATTCTTCAGATCCTTTTCTGTGGGACCTTTAAAAAAAGGCCCTTTTCTACGCACTGATTTCCGTACCATCAGCTATTTGTTCTACTTTGCTGCATTACACAGAGCCCGTATCCCCTTGCATAGGGGGTATACGCTCTGTTTTTTACATTCTCTCCTTCTCGGGGCTTATCATTCCGGAATTGCCTTTTTTTCGTCATTACCCCCACCCATTTTGTTACTTTGGGGATTTTAAAAACCCCCCATTTCCCCTTGGGGGGGGGGGGGGGTTTACTGTGATTCCCTGGAATTCAGTTGAGGCTTTTCTTGCCCCCCACCCCCCCAATGTTTTAAAAAACAGGTACCACACCCATTTTGATCCTCGGGGCTCACCTCTTGCATCGATCTCCGTTGTCTTCCCCAGCTTGTTCATTGGTTTTCTCCCGGACTTACATGACAGGATATTTCCAAAACATTTTTACTTCCCCTTCAATTCCCCCCCCTTGCATCCCACGTGGCAATTTGATCGGGCAATGGAACCTTTCTCCACCTAACTGTTTTTTGAGAGGTTCCTTCTTCGTCCTCCTCGATGAGCTTTTACACTTTCTCATCCTCCGTTTTAACCGCAGCTTTATTCATACCCCAACTTCGGGGAGGCATTCTCAAAAATGCTGCCTTGGTGGTCCTGCTTGTGCTCGTGCAGTGTTTGAAACGCGCTGCTGAGGGCAGGTACCGGTACAATAGAACCACAGAGACTCTCTTGTTTTTAAAAACAAAAGCGTCGATCGCTCCCGTGTCATCTGTGACGCTAAACACTGCTGGCGAAATTCTCCCATCCCTTGCTTCCTCTGAGTGCAGTCTGGAAAAAAGTACAAAAACTGAGTGGAAAAATTATTCTCCTGACCCGGCCCCTGTTCGCGGGTTGCGGTGTTGATATAGCAAACCACTAGTGTTGCCAATGAAAATGAAATATCGGGTCTGTTTTTCTGGGACCCCATCTATGCCCCTCTTTCTTTCCTCAAAGCGCCAGGAGTCCCCCCTTGGGACTTTTTTCTCTCAAAAAGAATAGTATAATGTGCCTTTTACACTTCAAGAACTGGAGGAAAACCTCACCTTGCCGATCATCGGCAGCGGGCCCGCGCATTCATTTGTATCTCAACATTTACATCGTCGCCCTTGGGGGTTTTTTTTTCCTTTTTATCCTTTACAATTTTTTGGTCACAAGGATTTTCTTTCACAGCTGTAGAAATCCGCCATTGTTTCCCTTTCCGCAAACCCGGGTACGGGACATGAAACCCCCCATATTGCCCCATTTCCTTTCCCGTGCATTTTTCAAAGTAATGGAACGCCCAGTA